CAAATGATCAAAAAGATGACAACCCCACTAATGAGGATGAATTACTGCGGGTTGCAGTCAGGATTGTATGTTGTTCATACTCACACTCAGGTAATCAGCATGTTAAAGTTTGATTTTTTTTAAATCTGCCCAAAACCTAACCACATAACTGATCCAATCCAGTAAAAAAAAAAAAATTGTCAGACATAGAAGAACCAAACCCAGCATTCCCTATGACCTATTGGAACTTATGGAGACCCATAGATCTACACTTCCAATTTTGTTCAGTTTACTTTTACCCCAGATTCTCCTTTTGCATGCTTTATTTCCCTTAACATTTAATCATTAGCCTATACACTCCTTTGTCCACTTGTGTCTATATAAAATCAGTGACATTAGAATCCCTGATTTTAAATGCAATTAACTTAGACCAATTGAGTTTGTCAATTGAGTTTACATTAGATATTGTTCTAGACATTATATATGTTCTAGAATTGTGCTGCTCATGGTGGCTGAATGTTGGAGTAGCTCTGTTACATTAATTCTGAAGTTTTGCTTTTGGAAACTTTAATTCCTCTTTTCCTGGATGTAAATTACTTGTTTTGGATGATTGTTTCCTCTGGTATTGCATGTTGTGCAGCTGGAAAGATTTTTACTGAAACTTTTTTAGTTTAGGACATTTGTTATTATGCATAACCATAACAAAAAGGTGGTTTTCTACAACCAGGAACAGCTGATTAACATCTCAAAAGCTCAAATAATATCTCAACTACAGCCCCAAATCTCAAATGAATTGAAAATGCGGTGCCGTGGATGCATTCCCGTCTCTCTGCCAGCTGTGCTCAAATGCCTGACCACGGAGATCCTGGAACTGGCAGAAAACGACTCGTGACAGCAGAAGGGCCGGAATCACCCCCCAGCCGGCTGTCCACAGCAACGAGGAGCTTGGCATGCTGCTGGAAGGAGTGGCCATCGCTTTGGGAGGAGTTCAACCCGGCATGCGGGTGGTCCTAGAGCCCCGGGGAACCAAGAGGCCAGCCAAGTCTTTGTGGGTGGATCGGACGGCATCTGCGGCCAGTTCCTTCAGATCTACTGTGGGATGGATGGACCTTCCTGCCTACAGCCATCAATATCTATAATATATTTTAATGAAATGAGGATAATGAGTTACAACATTTAATTTCCCTTTGGGATTAATAAAGTATTTTTGAATTTTGAATTGAATATGCATTATTATTCAACCTTATTCCCATTATATATTGAATTAGTTATAGGCTTAGTTGGGCACCAGAAGTCATTAGATGAATAGTCCAATTACCTCAGCATCCTGTGGTCTACCTCCTCATCCTAGCGATCAACTTCACCTTGCCCTCCATTTTGGACTTCAAATGGAATACCCTTGATTTTTCTTTTAATCTTCCGTGGATTTACCTCTTTTGACTTTGCATGAAATAATCTTGATTTTCTTTTTCCTTTCTTGGAATTAGCCACTTTGACTTTTCAGAATCTACCACAACATTTGTTGGAATACTTCTAATGTATGGACACTGTTAGTTGCAATTCATCCATCCATCCATCCATCCATCCATCCATCCATCCATCCATCCATCTATTATCTTTACCCGTTTATTCCATTTTGGGTCACGGGGGTCGCTGGTGCCCATGTCCAGCAATCACTGTGCAAGGGGCGGGGTACACCCTGGACAGATCGCAAGTCCATCACAGGGACACATAGAGACAAACGAGACAAACAACCATTCACTCTCTCTCTCTCACCTAGGGACAATTTAGAGTTACCAATCAGCCTAACATGCATGTTTTTGGTCTGTGGGAGGAAACCGGAGCACCCGGCGAAAACCCACGCATGCACGGAGAGAACATGCAAACTCCACCCAGAAAGGCCCCTGGACTGGGGTTTGAACCAAGGACCTGCTCACTGAGAGGCATCAGCTCTACCAGTTGCACCACCGTGCTGCCCAGTTGCAATTCAACAACCATAAAATCAGGTTGTAAATCTCAAGTGTGGGAAATGTAGAATCATACATCAGACCTCTCTCATACAAATTATTTTTCTGATGTTTTAAAACAAGACTGACTTTTAACACTGTTTTCAGTTTTGTGTACTCACTCACCACCACCCCCCCCCCCCCCCCCCACCCCCAACACACACACACATAAGTACAGAGGGGGAAAGCTACTGCTGGCTTAGCACAATATTAAGAAACTTTTAGTGTGATGGCTTGTTTCACAACTCTTGTACCAGCAACATATACAGTTGTTAGCCCAAAAACAAAAGCTTGTGTTTTTAAAACAGTGGAGTCAGTGATTCCTTAACATGTAAGGTTTACCAACATGTAGCCCACACAGTCAATTCACATATTTCAACAGCTAAAGTGTCCATCTTTGTTTTAAGACGAAAATCCTTACTCAACTCATGAGGACAGATGCTGCTTCTCTGAAGCAGTCAATATTTGTTGTGTGCAATGGTTCAAAGTTCAACTTTTTCAATGTTATTCTGATGGTCCCGGTTAGCATATGGCTAAAGTTAGCATCAGGTTAAGGATATGAACTAGACTTTCCATATATCTTTTATATTATAGCGGCATAAGTCAATAAAAACTTGCTTAGAATATTGGTCACAATATTTTTAATGTCTTAGAAAACAAAAAAGGGAATAATTTTACAGAAGCAAAGTATACATTTACAAATTGTGCACAATAATAAAGTTTAGAGAAAACTGAATAAAAAACCCCCCACAAAGTGTTACTATAACTTGACTAAATTTTGTGTCCTAAACAAACTAGATACTCATCTTACTGAATCAAAAGAAACATTTCACCTACATAAGATAAATTTTGGATCTAAAGTTTTTGCTACAATCAAAACTAAATATACTAATGAAAATGATAACATTTGCATAGTCCATTTATTTAACTAATAAAGTAAAGAAAAAAGTATAAATTAATAGATGTGTCCAGTCATGTTGCTTAATTACTTCAGTCACATCATGGGCCATGTGCATTAAAAATGAAGCCAAAGTAAATAAGATGAATTTTGAAATATTATTCAACAATTTAAAATGTTTTGGTGACTTTGTAAGAATGTTCCGTGTTGGGGAAAATATTGTAACAGCTTCATTAAAACCAAATTCTCAACTGGTTGCTGATTGCACATCAACAGCAAGTAAAGTGACATTTGCATTTAGAAAGTTGGCAAGACCTCAGAAAATGGGGCATGATGTTCTTTTCCCCACACGGTGTTTGTGCATTACTGCAAAATGCAGATAAAATAGACTGTTAGTAAAAACACTTTGTTTTCAGGTATACATAAAATAATCTCATACATGGGTTGAAAATCAAAACAAAACACAAATTACAAAATGTGGTTGCAAAAGCCATAATATTGGATTACAGAGATGTAAAAAATAAAGTACTGAGTAGAAACCTCAATCATTAGTGTTTATAAATGGACTAATTGTAGCATAGATTAAAAAACATTACCATTATAGCAGGCGTGTCAAACTCAGTTACAAAAGGGGACCAAAATTAACAACTTAATTTTAGAAAGAGCCGGTTTAAGTTGATACATTAACCCAAGTCAGGTACCTGACATCTGTTTTTGGTTGCATGCTTATCAGCAGGAGTTCAATTTGTCACATTTGAATGAAGAGTAGTCCATATTGTACATTTTTTCATCACTTTGCTGTTTCCACATTAAAATTGAAGATGACTGAAAAAATTAAATCTGCACTAAATGCTGTATTTATTGGTTTTTAAAGCAAAATGAGAAGCAAGAAAAATATTTTACAGTTAAAATGTTATCTTGGGAGGCCATATAAGATGTTAACGAAGGCCAGATTTGGCCCACGGGCCTTGAAATGACATGTGCTCGACAGTTTAAACATTTGGTGGCTCTGTCGTAATGTTCTCCAGTTTTGTAAAGTAACCCGGACCACTTAAAGGGCAGAGTCAGTGCAATGTTTATCCCAATGATCGACTTTATCCTATTAGGAAATATTTCTAATCTAGTCACTTTTCTAGGAAATCATTACTCCTAATCATAGAACTTTGGGGGTGTCAATGACTGGTTTGATAAATATTAATTGAATAATAATAATATGAATACATTTCTATAGTCCTCAGAGTTCTCACTCAACAATAAATGAAAGGCTGTGTCATTCATCAGGAAGGGAACATTAAGCTTAAAGAACCAGGACCAACATCTTGCCAAAATTAAAGCGTTTCTTTACCATCAGTGTTCCTGCATGTTCTTCTCTAAAATATTGCAGTTTCCCATGTTTGAGGTATCCTGCATTGCTAAAATGTATTAATAATGAATGAATAAAGCTTTAAAATGTGTGATTTGTAGGATTGACTGCATATTGATTAACCATATATTTAAAACCTCTATCAGGTTCCAAGAATGATGATATGATCCTTAGATCTGTTAGAATGACAGGGATGAATTGTCACCCCCTGGAACCTCTATTATTTTTCTGCAAAAAAAGTTTAAAAATAAAATAAAAAATAAAACTCTTTATGGCTAAATCTTTCTACTATGACATTCAGTTTTAAGTTTCCGTACAGCATCATCACTGGGTCAGTGAATCTTTTACTTTGTTTCCAGAATTGTTATGAGAAAAAAATAAGAACTGATTATTATTGTACTGATATTTGCATCATCATTCTCATATCATCTGAACCTTAATGACACCTGCATTAAATGCATTTTTAATGGTATCTATGAATGACACTTTTTACATATATTTTTGCAACTCGTGTATTTGCCCTGTTACATGCTCAATAATCAAGGCAGATAAATCTAACCAGGTTGAGTGCGGTCCTCTGGACCCTTGCTGACTTTATCAGCTTCTTTATCAACGAAGAAGAATCCCTCCAGAGGATTTGACTCAACATTTTTAAACTCATGTCTCTCATTATATAATTTTTCAAGGCTGTATTTAAAGTCAGTGCCCTAAGTTATCCATTTGTGTGAGACTCCTCCTCTTTCATAGAGATTATTTATTCGCAATAGAAGGTGAGGACATTTTGCTGGTTTCCTCGTATTAACACTGTGGGGCAGTGGAGACCACAGGTCAGAGCGTCCAGCCAGGCCATGTACAGAGCACTGGGGCAGTCACTCGGTGGCACTGGAAGGCTCCTAAAGGCAAAAAGATCACATTACATGAACATAAAATAAAACAAGAGTAGGTCCTTTTTTAAAATGCATGACCAAGGAGTAAAGTTGGTCATTTTATAATTTGTCATGTTGCGCATTTTTGTAAATAATGATTCCTTCCATCCATCTATCCATTTATCCATCCATCAATTTTTTTTTCCGCTTAACTGGGGTCAGGTCGCAGCAGCCTAAGTAGGGAGGCTCAGACTTCCTTCTCCCCAGCCACTTGGGCCAACTCTTCCAGGGGAATCCCGAGGTGTTTCCAGGCAAGATGAGAAACATAGTCCGTCCAGTGTGGCCTGTGTCTTCCTCTCGATCTTCTCCCAGTCGGACGTGTCCTGAACACCTTGCCAGGGAGGTGTCCAGTAGGCACCCTAACCAGATGCCTGAGCCATCTCAACTGGCTCCTTTCAACGTGGTCCCTCCCGGATGACCGAGCTTCTCACCCTATCTCTAAGAGAGAGTCCAGACACCCTACGAAAAAAACTCATTGTGGCCACTTGTATCCATGATCTCGTTCTTTTGGTCACAACCCAAAAGTCATGACCATACATGAGTGTAGGAACATAGATGAATCAGTAAATCTAGAGCTTTCCCTTTTGACTCAGCTCTCTCATCACCACTGCAGACCGGTACAGTGTCCACTTCACTGCAGACGCTGCACCTATCCACCTATTTGTCTCTCGCCCCATTTCCCCCTCATTCATGAACAAGACCCCACAATACTTGAACTCCTCCACTTGGGGCAGGACCTCCTTCCCGACATAGAGAAGGCACTCTACCCTTTTCTGGCTCAAGACCATGGCCTCAGATTTTGAGGCTCTGATCCTCATCCTGGTGGCTTCACACTCAGCTGTGAACCACTCCAGCGAAAGCTGTAGATCACGACATGAAGAAGCCAATAGGACCACGTCCTCTGCAAAAAGCAGAGACGTGATCCTAAGGCCACCAAAACGGATCCCCTAAACACCTTGTCTGCACCTAGAAATTCTGTCCATAAAAGTTATGAACAGAAGCTGTGACAAAGGGCAACCCTGATGGAGTTCAATTCTTACTGGGAACGAGCCCGACTTACTGCTGCCAATGCAAACCAAGCTCTGACACCAGTCATACAGGGACCTAACAACTTGTATCAAAGGGCCTGGTACCCCATACTCCCGGAGTACTGCACTGGATTCCCCGAGGGACGTGGTCGAACGCCTTCTCCAAGTTCACAAAGCACTTGTAGAATGGTTGGGCAAACTCCCACACACCCTCCAGGACCTTGCTGAGGGTGTAGAGCTGGTCCAGTATTCCATGACCAGAAAAAACACACTGTTCCTCCTGAATTTTCATTCAACCTTTTTTTTCATTCAACGTTTATTTAGACACATAAGTCACAATGAGCCTAGAAGATTCATTTACAAGTGAGATCTGTTAAGACAGAATCTGAAGTTTGACTATCCGACAAACCTCCTCTCCAGAAACCCTGAATAGACCTTACCAAGAAAGCTTAAGAGCGTGATCCCCCTGTAGTTGGAGCACATTCTGTGGTACCCCTTTTTGAATAGGGGGACCACCACCACTACTGTCTGCCAATCCAGGGGAACTGTTCCCGATGTCCACACAATATTGTTGAATCACGTAAGCCAATACAAACCTACAACATCTAGAGCTTTAAGGAACTCTGGGCAAATCTCATCCACCCCTGGGGCCCTGCCACCGAGGAGCTTGTAACCACCTCAGTGACCTCAGCACCAGAGATGGGAGAGTCTGACCCAAAGTCCCCAGGCTCTGCTTCCTCAATGGAACATGTGCTAGTCGGAATGAGGAGGTCTTCGAAGTACTCTGCCCACCAACCCACGCCATCCTGAGTTGAGGTCAGCAGCACACCATCCCCACTATAAACCGTGTTGGTGGTGTACTGCTTCCCCCCACACCCAAGACTCCAGATGGTGGACCATAATCGCTTCAAAATCATATGGAAGTCGTTCTCCATGACCTCTTAGAACTCATCACACATCCAAGGTTTTGCCTCAGTGACCACCCAAGCTGCATGTCTCTTGGACTGCCGGTACCCATCAGCTGCTTCCGGGGTCCCACAGGCCAAAAAGGCCACATGGGACACCTTCTTCATCCTGACAGCATCCCTTACCGCCGGTGTCCACCAATGTGTTTGAGAGTTACCACCGCGACAGGCACCGACAACCTTGTGGCCACAGCTCTGATAAGCCACCTCAACAATGGAGGTACAGAACATGGCCCACTTGGACTCAATGTCTCCCACCTCCCCTGGAACGTGTTTGAAGTTCTCCCAGAGGTGGGAGTTAAAGCTTCATCTCACGGGAGACTCTGCCAGACGTTTCCAGCAGACTCTCAGAATACATTTGGGCTTACCAGGTCTGACCGGCATCCTCCCCCACCATTGCAGCCAACTCACCACCATGTAGTGATCAGTGGACAGCTTCACCCCTGTCTTCACCTGAGTGTCCAAGACATGCAGCCACAGATCAGATGAGATGACAACAAAGTTGATCATCAAACTGCAGCCTAGGGCATCCTGTTGCCAAGAGCATACAGTACAGTATATGGACACACTTATGCTTGAACATGGTGTTCATTATGGATAATCCATGATGAACACAGAAGTCCAATAAAAGAATACCACTCGAGTTCAGATCAGGGTTCCTCCCAACCACACCCCTCCAAATCTCACTGTCATTATCCACGTGAATGTTGAAGTCCCCCAGCAGAACAATGGAGTCCCCAATAGGGGCACTCTCCAGTATCCCCTCCAAGGACTGCAAAAATGGTGGGTAATCTGAACTGCCATTTGGCGCGTAAGCACAAACCACAGTCATAACCCATCCCCTTACATGTAGGTGGATGGAGGCTACTCTCTTGTTCACCGGGGTGAACCACACCGTGCTTAGTATAACCCCAAATAATGCTTCCCCATATCAGAATTAATTTCTATTAATCTCAATCTATTAAACCTTTAGGCAAAATTACATTTTTATGTGCACACTTTGCTGAAAACAAATTTCTCAAGCTTGTGATATATGAAAATTTTTAGACAAATAAACTGTGTACTCACACAAGAACAAGAGCAGTATGTTGTGAATTCTTTCGGATGATTTCATTCAGCCTCACTTTACTCTGTGACTATAAAAGAGAAATGCAAAGAACTTGTGTCAAAGCCACTTCCAAGAGAAAAAAACATGTAGTGTAAATGCATATTCAGACAGATTTTCAACAAACTGTTTCATCAGTTAACATTAACTTTCATGTGTTAAATGATTAAACACCCACCCTAAGTTTGAAGGCTTCAAATTCTTTGTCAGATATTTTCCAAGGGGCATTTTGTCTCAGTTCCTGCACCGAGACGCCTTCCTGCTGCTCATCATACAGCCTGAAGGGGGCGACACTGTCCACAAACCTGCTCAAGCTGCAAAGCCATCAGAAAAGCAATAGGCACAAATTAGTTTGTTCTGGAAAATGGGTTTGGTAATTTAAGGGCTTAATAAGATTTGAAAAGATTTTTCAGAAACAAAATGTGGTCTGCAGGTAAAGCTCTTAAAATAGTGAATGAATCAATTAATGAATGAATGGTTTATTTAGTCATATCAACAATAAAATAATAATAATAATGAAAAACCTTTATGACCAAAAAGGTGTAGGTAAAAGCCTACTTGGATTGTCCCCAAAAAAAATTGAATAAAGTAGATGTGATTTCCTGCATTTTGGTGTATTTTAACAGGTTATTCAAAAATATAAGTACTTGTAAATAAATAATGAATTATTATTATTATTATTAATTATTTTATTTTTTTGCGGACCCCTAAGCACTGGCTCACGGACTCCTGGGAGTCTGGGGACCCCAGTTTTACAACCGTTGCTCTAGGACGTCACTCACAAATTCCATAAAGAAACATCATGTTATGGTTTTCAAATGTTTAATCAAGTTGTTTATCTTAATCGGGAATTTTATTTGGCTTTGCCAACTCTGGGGCAATACTAACAAAATCATTCATCTCATTAAGCAGTTCCTCTAATCTTTCTACTTTTATTTTCCTTGCTCATAAGATATGCCAAAAAAAACATTTTCTAATCCATGTTTTTAAATCATCATCATTTAATAAACTCCAAGTTGTCTTAATATTAAATTTACGCTTCTGCATCAACTGATTATCATAATATTTTTGTGAAATTAATCAATGCTGTATATGCACATAAACAAGAATAAACACAAGAGTGTTTAATTTCAAATAGGAGCTGGCTATGTAAGGAAGTCCACAGAGCTTCTTCTTCTTTCAGCTTTTCCGTCTTCAGGGGTCTCCACATCGAGTCATTCTCCTCCATCTCACTCTGTCTTCTGCATCCTCTGTCCTCACTCCATCTACCTCCATGTCCTCTCTAACTGCATACATATATCTCCTCTTTTGCCTTCCTTTTTGTCTTTTTCCTGTCAGCAGCATTTCTAATATCCTTCTACCCATATAACCACTGTCTCTCCTCTGGACATGTCCAAACCATCTCAGTCTGGCCTCTCTAACTTTATCTCCCAGTTGTTCAACGTGTGCCGAACCTTTGATGATCTCATTCTTAATCTTATCCATCCTTGTCATTCCTAAGGAGAACCTTAGCATCTTCATTTCTGCCACTTCCAGTTCATTCTCCTGTATGTTTTTATCAATGCTTCTGTCTCCAGACCATACAACATAGCTGGTCTCACCACTGTCTTGTAAACTTTTCCTTTGGCCTTTGCTGACACTCTTTAGTCACAAATCACTCCTGAAACTTTTCTCCATCCACTCCATCCTGCCTGGACTCTCTTTTCACCTCTTTACCACTTTCCCCATTTTCCTGGACAGTGGATCCCAAGTACTTGAAGTCATGCAACTTTGTGACCTCTGCTCCTTATAGTCTCACACTTCCACCGGCCTCCATGCCATTCACACACATATACTCTGTATTACTATGGCTGACTTTCATTCCTCTTCTTTCAAGCGCATACCTCCAACTCTCAAAGTTTTCTTCCACCTGTTCCCTGTTCTCATCACCTATCACATCATCTGTAAACATCAAAGTACATGGGTATTCCTGCCTGACCTCATCTGTTAGTCGGTCCACCACCAGAGCAAACAAGAAGGGGCTCAGATCCGATCCTTGATGCAATACCACCTCCACCTTGAAGTATCTGTCACTCCTACAGCAAATCACACCGTTGTCCTGCTGTCCTCATACATGTCCTGTACCAGTCTAACATACTTCTCTGCCACTCCAGATTTCCTCATGCAATACCATACCTGCTTCCTTGGCGCCCTGTCATATGCTTTTTCTAAATCCACAAAGACACAATGGAGTTCCTTCTGACCTTCTCTGTACTTCTCCATCAGCATTGTCAAAGCAAAGATGCATCTGTGGTGCTCTTTCTTGGCATGAAACCATACTGCTGCTCACCTCTCGTATAAGTCTAGCATCCACAACTCTCTCCCAGATCTTCATTGTGTGGCTCATCAACTTAATTCCCCTGTAGTTGCCACAACCCAGTACATCACCCTTGTTCTTAAAAATGGGCACCAGCACATTTCTTCTCCAATCCTCTGGCATTTTCTCACCCTCAAATATGCCATTGAATATTTGGGTCAAAAACCTCACTACCATCTCTCCAAAATGTTTCCAAATGTCCACTGGTATGTCATCAGGTCCTACTGCCTTCCCCTTTTTCATTCTTTTCAGACTCCACCCACATTAATCTTTCCCACTTCCTGGTCCACAGTTTCTATGACCTCTACTCTTCTTTCTCTTCCATTCTCTTCATGCATTAGCCCCTCAAAGTACTCCTTACATCTTCCCATCACACTCTCCTCACTTGTTAGAACATTACCATTCCTATCTTTAACAAGCCTAATGTGCTGCACATCCTTTCCAGCCTGATCCCTCTGTCTTGCCAATCTGTACAAGTCAATCTCACCCTCTTTAGTATCCTGCCTCCCATACAACTCATTATAGGCTTTCTGCTTTGCTTTAACTGCCTCCCTCTTTGCTCTACGTCCCATCTCCTTATATCCCTGTCTCATCTCTTGATTTCTCCCACTGTCATATTTCTTCTTGGCTAACCTCTTTCTTTGTACAGCATCTTGCACTTCACTATTCCACCACCAGGTTTCCTTATCATCCATGCTCTGTCCAGATGATACATCAAGTACCTCATAGCTGTCTCTCTAATTACTGTTGCTGTAGTAGCGCAGTCATCTGGAAGCTCTTTTTAACCACCCAGAGCCTTTAACAGCTCCTCTCTGAATTTGTCACAAATTTTTTCCTTCTTCATCTTCCATCGTGTGGTCTTCTTATCTGATTTTACTATTTTGCTCTTCTTCAAAACAGTGGTCATTCTACACACAACCACCCGTTGCTGTCTGGCCACACTTTCCACTGCCACAACCTTACAGTCTCTAATCTCTTTCAGGTTTTCTCTTCTACACGGAATGTAGTCGACCTGCGTACTCCTTCCTCCTCTCTTATAGGTCACTCTGTGTTCCTCCCTCTTTTGGAAATAAGTGTTGACTACAGCCATTTCCATTCTCTTGGCAAGATCCACCACCATCTGTCCTTCCTGGTTTCTTTCCTTGACACCAAACCTACCCATCACTTCCTCATCCCCTCTGTTTCCTTCACCAACATGTCCATTCAGGTCTGCTCTGATCACCACTCCCTCCTCCCTGGGAATACTCTCTATCATTTCATCCAAATCTTTCCAAAATGTATATTTCTCCTTTCCATCACATCCAACCATAACCCCTGACAATGTGTAGCATCAGAAATTCTACTTCTACCTGGCACGCCACCCTATCTGACACTCTCTTCACCTCTACTACATTCTTTGCCAACTCCTCTTTTAGGACCACCCCTACTCCATTTCTCTATCTCTCCACACCAAGGTAAAACAGTTTGAACCCTGCTCTAATGATGCTAGCCTTGCTGCCCTTCCAATTGGACGCTTGGACACATAAAACATCTACCTTCCTTCTCTGCATCATGTCAGCCAGCTCTCTTCCTTTGCCTGTCATTGTCTCCACATTTAGGGTTGCAACCCTCTGTCCTACATTCTTGACTTTCCTCTGTTTCCTCTGTCTCCTGACATGTTTCCCTCCTCGTGGTCTTCAAACTAATAGTAGTACAATTTCTGCCGACACCCTGTTTGTCAACAGCACCGGTGGCAATCATTGTTAACCCAGGCCTCGACCGATCTGGTATGTTTTCGCTTTGATGAACTTGCATTATGGGTTTGGAAAACGTGTTTTATATTGGATGCCCTTCCTGACACAACCCACACCATTTACCTGGGTTTGGGACCGGCACAAGCGATACACTGGCTTATGCTCCCTAATGGCTGGTTTAAAGAAGTACACAGAGCAATTGTAAATAAAATAAATAACATTTTTAAACAACTGGTAACACCAAATTTCTCTCAAAATTGTTAAACATGTATGGCATTTATGAAATATTAGTGTAGTGTCATACGTCAGGACTCTAACTATTTATGTGAATCATTTTTAGTTCATTAAACAATGTTGTGGCTACCCCTCTGGTTCAACCACCCAGGTCTGGAAAGTAATAAAAATACATCAGCTGATGTTCAGTAGAAGATGTCGCACCAAGAATTCCATTCATCAAAGAAACCTCTGATGGATAATCATACCAGTCTCTGCTTTCTCTAAAGCAACAATAAAGTGACACAATTTAATATTTTCAGAAGATTTAAATACTTTACATGCTTCAAGACTCCTCCAGGAATGTTCACTTCATTGTAAATTCTTTAGTTGATGCTTAAAGGAATGACTCCCAATTAGACTCTCTTCTAAGGACCAAAACACAGTTCAACAGTGCCCCCAAAGGCCAAATACTCATCTCATTAATTTATAACAAATTCTGTTTAAAACAATGTCTTCTAATGTGGGAGTTCTGTTCTGTCAGCTCTCTGCAGCCACATCTATCTCTAATCAGCAGCACCTGAGAATCATCGGCTTGATGAGCAAGAAGAGCCTAAAAGACTGAAGAGGACATCCTGTCAGTGCTGGAGCATTAGCTGCCAAATGATAGTTCTGTTCTGTTTTTAAATAAAAAAAAATATATATATATATATTATACCGTTTCTCCTCATGTTTTCTTCCCTTTTCTCATCTAAGCAAAAATATTATTCTGAATAAAAATAAGAGGGCCACACCTTTCTTTTTTTTTAATAGTAGCAGCTTTATGCACTACGTCCATCTTTCGGACGACTGTATGTACATTTTCTTGTTGTATCTCAGCACAATGATGATAAAGCTTATTCTGATTCTGTTCTAGCCTTTTACTGGTGAGTTAAAGTGAATATTAACTATTTTGTATTTATCAGTGCTTACATTAAATAATCCCTGATGTCCTCCTGTCCCCTGGGATATTTTATGTGGATCACAAGCTCTCCTGTGCCTCCTCAACTGTCTCCACGCCTTCCTACCACTTGCCTTTCTCCTGCCATTGTTCAGACAAACACCTTCTTCACCTGGAACCATTTGGGTCAGCTCTTCCCACTACTGACTCATAGCTCTATGGTAAGAAAGAGCCACAACAACATTATCACCACTGTCGACAGACCACTATCTCCTTGCTCTTCAGGGTTCCAGCTCCCTACCTGGCTCATTGAATGATTTATCCCCTTGTAAATAAACACTGTAAATACATTAAAAAAGGTTAAATAGTGGCATCTGGACCAGTTTCTTAAAGTAAGAAATGTTTCATCCCTCATTGCGAGGACTTTCTCAGTCTACGTCCTGCCAACCAGATCTGTCCCATAGGTAGCCTTCACTGCTGTGTTTCAAGGCAACCTCCTGTTGGAATCTCAAAAGTAGGAACATTTCTCACTTAAAGAAACTGGTCCAGATGACAAGATTTAAACTTTTTGTTGTTATCTACCTGGATGATTGAGCTTACAACACTTTATCTGGACCACATTGGTCTTGGTTGGCCTCAGGCTGTGAGTAGGATGTTGGCCATATGGCCTATAACATTTGATTGTTGTACACGATGAATGATTGTTTTGGATGGGTGCATTTTGCACGTGTTAAATCCTAATTTTGAGATTCCAACAGGAGGTTGACTTGAAACACAGCAGTGAAGGCTACGTATGGGACAGATCTGGTTGACAGGCCGTAGACCGATGAAGTCCTCTGGATGGGGGTGAAACATTTCTCACTTTATGGGTGCATTCACACCAGCCCTGTTTAGTCCGCTTTAATCGAACTCTAGCTCGTTTTCCTAGAAAGTCCGGTTCGTTTAGGGAGGTGTGAACATGCCATCGAACTCTGTCACGGAACAAAAAGGCAAACTCTGGCCTGGGCTAAAACCTAGGTCTCGGTCCGGTAGAAGAGAACTCCAGCGCGGTTCGAGTACAGTGTGAATGTAAACAGACCGGGACCCGCTCCGCAGGACAAACAAACATGCATTTCTCTGACCTTATATGGAGCCGTCAGCTGCCTTGTGTGGAAAAACAATATTCTCCATGGTCTTCTGTCTCATCTTCTGCTCATGCTAAGTCCATTTTTGAAAAATGACTAAATATAACTCCTAAAACTGCTAAAACTTGATGCCACTTTGTTTTTATTTTTATTTACAGAAGAAGAAGAAGACGTGTCTTCAGAGGTTTTTGTGTTGTTTCTTTCAGTAGTTCTTGGTGCAGCGCCCCCACAGGCGAGCGAGGGAATAGGTTGGTTCAACAGGTTGACTCGACTGCACAGTGCAGTGTGAATGCAAACTCACCAGCTCAAATGTAAACAAAAGGTCATGAATATTGGTCCTGAACCGAACCGAGTCTACCGGACTATCTGGTGTGAAAACGACCTAAGAAACTGGTCTAGATGACACTATTTAACCTTTTTTTGTTGTTGCTGTTACCTGGATGATTGAGTTTACAACACTTTGACTGTAAATACATATTGAGTCTTGGTACGTATCTGTTCTCCTCTGTCCTTGTATCTATAGCCACAATTGTTACACCAATTCTCCATAAGTAAATTTACGCTGAAAATGCTGTAGTGCCCATGTTTTATTTTAGCTACCAAGAGTTTACAGGTTTCATTCTAAGTCCAACACAAAGTAATGTTTGTTTTGTTCTTCAAAATCTGTTAAATCAACAGTCTTATATTTATAATATGTTTCTAATAAGTATTTTTTGTCATTATTTTATGAAAGTTGAAGTTAGTTTCCTTTCCTGTATAAGAAATATGATGTAGATAACTTTATTAAATAATCCAAAAAAGTTCAATCTGGTCCTCTGGACATTCAAAAAAACAAAACAAACAAAAAAAACAAAGCAAAAAAATATAGAATAGAATAGAATAGAATAGAATAGCAAAAATAGAATTAGAATATTTTTTTATATTTTTTTGCTTTGTTTTTTTTGTTTTCCATGTTTTGATAATGTCCCGAAGAACCGATTTAATTTTTTTTGGATTTTTCTACCTGGATTATTGAGCATGCATCAGGATATTTATTAAATAATGAAAATTTGAGGCAAACAGACGTTCTGAAGGAGAATTATCTCTCTTGGTTTGAAAACTAAGACTAAACTAAACTAAACTAAACTAAGACTAGAACGCCACTGGCTGATCATTACTAAAGGTGTCCGCCTTTATTTAAATATAGTTGCTTTGATTGGGAAAACATTTCCAAACCTTGCCCACTCTGAAAGTTTCAAACAAGATGTGTGCTTGTTTAAAGGGCTTAGTCTCTCTTGTTTTTATGCTCTTGCTTTTTGTCTCCTTTTGCTCTCATTTTTGCTTGCCTTATAACTTTTTTATTATGTCTTGGTCAGAAGTTTTTGTTAATTCAACCATAAACCTCTAGTTTGATTCAGCGCAGTAAAGTGAAACTAGTCGGAACTTTAAAACGCCGACATTTGAGCCTCCTCAAAAATCTGGACCACTTCAGAACCCTAAGACCTCACAGAGACAGACGTTTTTCAACCTCAAAAGTCTTCAGCCTGAGCACCATGAGTTGAGGAACCGAGGGCCAGCTTACAACCAGAACCAGCTGCAGATGGAGACGCTCGTCTCTCAACAGCCAACAGGTACTCTCGGGATGTCTTCACTTCCGAGGTACTGGACCCAGCCACTCACCTGCCTGGTATCTACTACAGAAGTTGAACAGATCTACAACTCTGTAGGACAATACCTCGCTGGTGATATGGTGCCTTCATGATAGAAACGGTAGTCCACTTCCACAACCTTTGATAAGTTTCCACATTAGAACTTTTATTTCATTTGGTTAGTTTCAGTTAAACCTGCCCCTCAACACAAAATAAATCAAAGCTTTTAATTTTGCCTCAAAGTTACACTTTGTTTAATCCATATATTTTATAGTTTATTTTCAATATTACATTTTTACTATATCATATTTTGCCATCACTTATTATTATGCTTAAACAGTGCCAGACTTAAATCAGTTGTGTGTGTGTGTGTGTGTTTTAATGTAATTATGATATTACTTTGAAGAAAAGAACTCATGGATTGGGATGATTTACTGAGAAGGATATTATAAATAATGGATTAATTTAGTTTTCCCTCTTTATGAGGGTGGTGCCCCAAAGTTGATAAATTAATTAGTAATAATTTACAAATTATCAATTTTTATAGTCTAGCCCTACATTAGTCTTGTTGCTGGAGCTGTTTGCGTTGTTTGGATTTTGTATTAGTTTGCTTTCAAACAACATTTTTAATACTTAAACCAACTACAGTGGAGTGTTCATGTCTCTGCACCTTTTCTTTGTGGGTCAGAAGCCAAAAAGTTTTGTTGATGGTGTCGGGACAGCATTTCAGACAGCTGATGTATTCATCTTGATCACTCAATGGTGATGTTTATAATACAGTGATCTTTAAATTACTTATGCAATGTTCTTATTTTAATTGACCTCTTTAAAATAAAGTGATACACTTTTTGAAAAAAATAAGTTCCTTTGAATTAAACTGGTTTAGGAATATTTTTGTGAACAGTGACTATAAAAGAGCAAAGTCTGTTCAAATGTACCTCTTGGAATGAGGACGTTTCTCAATTCCTGCCATGACAATAACATCACTGATGTCCAGACGGAAACTTTTCAGCATAGTGATCATCCTGGGGGGGAAAAAAAGGATAAAATATTTAATATATTTATCTTCCCTACTTCTGTCATATATTTAAACCACAGGTGTTCAATGATAACACAACTACAAAACCACAAGCACAAATACATGTATAACTGATATATTTATGTACATAAATGTGATCTAAAGCAGGGGTTTAGTTTCCCAACTGAACTGTAAATGTAAAATTTAACACAATTTATAGAAACATATAGTTTCCTCCCCCCCATTATTGTTGAATCAGTCTCACCCTAATTTGTTTGTTGTTCAATTGCTTTTTGTTTCAGTCAAGAATCTATATAATCAAGTTGAGAAAATAAATATTTCTGAACATGTTCAGAGTTTAATCACCAAACTTTACCATACATA